GAGAGAACGTGAGAGAAAGAAACAGACAGAGAGAGAGAGAGAGAGAGAGAGAGAGAGAGAGAGAGAGAGAGAGAGAGAGAGAGAGAGAGAGAGAGATATCACAATCACTGCACGATGATGCTGGTGGTGGACGGATGTCGTACCCTCCTGAAAGAGAGGACAAAGGCAACGCCCCTCGTCCGCTTCTTTTCTCGTTAGTGAGTTGTGCTCGAAGACGTTGTTTCAGTGCACCTTGCTCGTGTTTGCAGTTTTAACTATTATAGGCTTACGGTGGTGACTCTCTTGGGCTATCACTCTCTCTCTCTTCCCGTCTATGGGGTGAGCTTGGTGCTGTGTCTACAACCTCTTTTTTGGCGGCTGCAAGTGTCGCAATATAGGTTCTCTATGTAGATGCTCGTGCGACTACTTTTGCGTTCGACTATTCGCTGCTATTGGACCAAACCGGTCATCTCCCTTCGGAACTTGCCCTTTGCTTCCTTCAAGTTGTTTGGTTTTGTGTGCGTTTTTGTGCGCCCCCCGCCCGTAGCTGTGGTTGGTTTGGCTGGAGCATCCACCACGTGGGGGTGCGTCCTCGATTTATTTATTTATTGGCCGAGTTTTAGTCAATCGGTGTCGTGTTCCAGCCAGCACTTGCGTAAGTAGTTTCTGGGTTAGGGTTAGTGAGGAGGTTTTCGTGGTCGCGGTGGGAAGGAAGCAAGCGGTAGAGAAAGAAAAGGTTTTGGTTTATAATTTTCTTTTGCTTTCATCCTGTACCATTGGTTTGTTCGACGTATGCATGGCAAATGTTAGATTGAGTTACTACACGGTTTATCGCCTTCTTTTCTTTCGAATGTAGCTAACATATAATAGTCTACGGGGAACCTGTTCATAGGAAGGGGGTGCCTAGCAGTGATGATGGCTGGGCTTTGCAAAGAAAGTGTCCCGCCCTCTGTTTCTTGTTATCGGGGTTTCTGCCTGTACAAACAAGTGCCGGAACTTACGATACAGGAACTGCAGCTTGTTGTTTAGTTTCACCTTGTGGAGGGAATTGCTGACAAGACCGTTGAACGGGCACCGCAGCAGGATGGGGAGCGGGGAGGGGGGGGTCGGGTTTCTAAGAACCACATAAATCCACGGAGTCACCGCAACAACGTCCGTGTTGCTGTCTTGACTGACTTTTGGCCCCAATTTGGGGGGAAGACGGTCGCACCAGTCCTTTTTTGTCCAGGAGCAATCGTAGCTGAGGTACAGTATTGGATGACAGTGCAGTCTTGTGCTAGTAGAACTTAACGCGAAGAGGCCACAATAACCGATCCTCCACCAGAAAGCTTGTGGGGCCTGTCAAACAATTACCTTCTCAATCTTGGTCCTTGTTCACGTCGATTGCCGCTGGAACAAACGCGGTCACAATTGATTCTGATCTTGAGAACGATGCTCGACACCAACCATCATCATGCTAAACATCAAAGATCCTCCACCAATGTTCGACGTCAACGATCCTCAACAATGCTTGACGCCAACGATCCTCAACGATACTCGACGTCAACGACCATCGACGATTTTCGTCGATCCTCAACAATGCTCGATGACCATTCTCACAACGATGCTATCATCAACGATCCTCAGCGATGCTCAACGTCAACGATCCTCTCAACGATGCTCGACGTCAACGATCTCGATTCTCGACGTGAAAGAGTCTCACCGATACTTGACGCCAACGATCCTCACAACGATGTTCGACGTCAACGATGCTCAACGATGCTCAATGTCAACGATCCACGACGCTCGACTTCAACAAATCCTCACAACGATGCTTGACGTCGACGAGCCTCACTGATACTTGACGCCAGCGACCCTCACAACGATGCTGGACATCAATGATCCTCAGAACGATGCTCGACGCCAACGGTGCTCGTCGTCAACGATCCTCAACGATGCTCGACGTCAGTTAATGATGCTCAATGGTGATGGGCGTCAACGATTCTCAACGACGCTCGACTTCAATGATCCTTACGACGATGCTCGGCATCAAAGAGCCCCACGATGCTCGTTGACCTTCTCACAAAGATGCTCGTCATCAACGAGTCTCAACGATGCTCGACGTCAATGGTGCTCAACGATGCTCAACGATGCTCAACGTCAACGATC